AGAGGCAAAAGCTAACAACGTTGAGTGAAATGCTCCTTAGAGCTGCCGGTTAGTTTATTACTATCAGTAGACTCGATCTATTCGTGACGATAGCGTAGGTTAATTTCTGTACAAGCTATAGGTTTGAAAATTGCGGGTCAGCCAGTTGCTGCGTGTCACATTCTGTGCTTTCCTCCCATCCTGAAAACCTCCCGAAAAGACGGACGACCAACTTTCGAAGCACGGCCTGTTCTTTTTTGCTACCTTTTAGTGGTCGCAAAACTATTGCGTTACTGACACAGGTGTACTCGTACTGACAAAATCTATTATACTATAATTATAAAAACAGCAAAATGAAGAAACTGAAAAAAAAAAAAAAAAAGGATCATTTTAGGTGGCGACAATTAAATATAGACCTGTTAATAACGAAGAAGATGGGTAATCATTATAATATCTATCTACCGACTATTGTTGGTGCACACACATGTTGGCCAAAAAACGTTCTTATTCTGCGGTTTATCATGAGAACTATTTTTGTAAAAATTTTAGGATTCTTCCTTTCTTTGATCTCTTTAATCATTGTTTAGTTTAACTAATTTCGCCAAGAAAAGGTTTCACAAGAGTCCACTGGGCGACGTTCCAGTTTTCTTATTAAATGTCAGAACTGGAAGACAAACTTTAGCTTTGTTATTTAATGTTATAAACAGTTGTTATCATGGTAATTTAAGTTATTTAGTTTAAATTCGGATTGAAATTTCGTATTGCAGCCGCGAGAAACTTAAGATAAGTTTATCTCGCTGAAATATTGTTTGTATTCATATGGTGCAAGCATGGCTTGAATGACTTTCCGATTTTACCTCTTAAGTTACCTATTCTAACAGCATGAGAGATGTGTTCGCTTGAATAGATAAGTGTGCCGTTAAGCTTAGCTTCCTTCGCGATTCTTCACAGATGAAGATTGAGAGGCTTTTGAACGTGTCGCATATTGTATCTGCAAGAGCAAAAGAGCTGATGAAGTAACTAGCACCGAAATCGCCTCTAAATAACTTAGTAAATATAATAATAATAATAATAGGAGCTTCGCCAGGTTTCTTTGCTTGTCTGTCGTTTCTTGATACAGGAAACCTATTGATTACAGTCGAGCCACTCGCGTGTTATATCCTTCCGATGAGCATGAACCTCTTCCCGACTACTGACCGACGTTTAAAGCCAAAAAGCAACAGCCCGTTGTTTCCATCCCTCTGCCTCTTTTACCCTGTCTATAAAACGTTGACAGTCGTCTGTGCAAAGATTTACCTATTCGTTCATGTCGATACCCATCGTGCAGTACTAGTTTTAAGCTCGTTTTAGGCTATTCGCTATCATAACGGACCCAGAAGTATAGACAAACTTGAGCCTGGCTACCAATATTCCTCGTTGCAAACAAGAAAAGATCGATCCGAATTGTATGATCTGCCACATGGTACAATAAATTATACAGACGACTGATAAGCTTACTTTTTACGCACTACCATGTAACCGAAGTAACAGCCGCATTCGTGCGTCTTCAGACAGCATCTTATGAGCAATATTATTAAAGACGATCGTTTGGCGAAGAAAGCACTCAATTAACATTGTGCTTAGACGCATAACTTTGACTGAATATATATATATATTAAATAAAATAACGGAATGAAGGAGATTTTATTGTAAGTTGACATCCAGTCGAATCTCTCTTTAGGAACACATGCACAACTTACCCTTTAGGGACCCAGTTTAGGTTGCCACTTGAGATAGACGTGGCCATTGTTACCGCTAGATTTCAGTTGGCCAACAGAAATGAATCGTAAGCCCTGGGACATCTTGATTGTGTCCTGACAGTTGCAAACGTCAGCCGTTAACGAAAGTGTGATTTTTCTGACGGATTTCGTGACCTAGTAACATCTAAACACCATTGGTAGAAAAAAAAATGTTTACATTTGTCAAAGCAACAGAAGACTAAAGTCACTACGAGTATGCAAGGTAATAAATATGATTTTTTTTCTAAAAGGTAAGGTTCGAGGCGGTTAAATGCTAAGTTTTTTTTTTTTTTTTAAAATATTTTTCAAGCTAATATCATCGAAAACCTAGAAAGTTAGTGGGTGTATAAAGAATTAGCAGTAATATATAGCCATCATCAATAAAACGTGCTAAATTGATTATGATAGATTAAGCCTGAAATTCAAGCGGCTGTATCATCAACTCGTTTCAAAGTCTCTATCAGACTTCCGCTTTCAACTTGACAAACATCTAGATTACCCTAGAAAATAAACGGGTACACTACTAATAATAACGATAACAGAAATGGCACTTATAAAAATATTGGTAATAATACGGAGTTGATGGTTGACGGAAGCGTAAGTACTGAAGATATTTACCATTGGCTGAACCTAAAATTCAGTCACCATCAAGCGTGAATGTCTTTCATCAAGTTTTAATTGCTCGAGCACGAAGCGATCATCATTGTAGTCATCGTCTTCAGTACGTCATCAAGGCGTAAAAGATGCCCATTCTTACTTCTTTAGCAGGTGCTTTAGATGATGTTGTCCTCAAACAGCCCACGTACTTTGACGTACAATTGTTATGGCCTTTTGTATCTCAGAGTAGTTGTTGTGGCGTTTGACTACCGTTAACATTGCTACTCTACACTCAAGCATCAAAACGTTAAGGCGACTGCGAGTCATCGGTGTGTGGCTACTAACAGCAGTGTTTCTGTGGCAGATATATCCACGATGTAGGATATTGATGGTCTACCACGCACATGTAGATCCTGCCCCGAGCATACGCGACATGAACCACCTGTAGTTGCCCTGACAGGTGGACTCGAAGTAGATGTAATTGTAGTTGTCAGCATAAAACGTACTGGGTTTGTATACAAGTGGTACTCTGTGCCATTGTCCGATGGTCCAAAGAGAAAGAATACGTGTGTTTGCCATCGCAACATCAGCACCGAATCGTAGAGATCTACGATTTTTAGACGGTAACAATCGGCAAAGAGCTACGGTTTTTCGCGTAAAGAATGCAATTCCAAGCGGCTGGCTTCTCCGATCCTATTATTCGCTGAATTCATTCATAGACGTATATCAGTTACTCTGACGGCTGTCTTCGGAATTTTAGTTCACAATCAGCTCCAGACAATTCTTCTGAACAAAGAGCATGGCGGCAAAACAAAGCTTATAAAGGAGGAACATTTACATTAAAAAGGAGAGGGATAGTCCATTCGAAGTAGCCACTTGCTTATCGTATTGTCAGAGCGAGATTGGAAATTCCAACTACCTAGTGAAGCCCATTGATCGTGAGGAACAAACGGACGAAGACGCAGTTGAGCCTATCCTTGTTACAAATACAACATTCATTAATCCCGTCGTATTAACAAAGCTCTAAAAAAACTTAAAAAGTGTCACTGTGTTGTATGTGAAGAAAGTTGCGCTAAAAATTACGAGATCAATCTGTCTCGCTCATAGGCGAAACTCATATGTAGCATTTGTATATTTGACCAAGCAGAACACCGGGGTTGGATCCATACACGCCGACATACGTCGTCAGCCGTAGCTTTTATATGTACCATGTATGATATCGAATAATATTTATTATTGGCGGGCCTTACAACAGTAGAAGCAGCGGTTATAGCGATGCTCACCTGAAGTATACGACACATTTTGCTTGCTATCGTGGGTATCTGTATTATTGCCAATGTGGTCATTGTCTGCCTTGCACTTTACTCCGGAGTGTACACATAGGCCTACCGATGTTGATTCTTCTACTTCTTAGTTCACTCTTTCATATTGTTTTTGCAACGACCTTAACCTACCGGAATCGACAAGCGTCGCAAGCATTGGTCAGATCTTCTGCAACCCCCACCGCCGCCGTTTGTACTTCCTTTTATCGTCGATCTTGTTTGTTACGTTGCCTTTGACGTTGATGATCCGTCCTAAGATAGACAATTCTGTGTGCTTTCAAAAGCCTTCCCGACGGGTCTTAATAGCGCACAACCACAGTCTACTTCGCGCGTTCGGCAATCGCACCAGCAGCTTCGCTGGCCCGCCCGGTCGGCTGCTTTGCTCATCTGACATCTATAGTCTGCCTTAGGTTGAAACTCCTTCGCCTTCAGCCACCGAAGCCAGCTTAGGAACTTTGGAGCCTTCAGCCAGCCAGCCAGCCAGCCGGCCGCTCGTCCTTCCATGTGATAGACCAGCAGCCCGAACGCGCAGCTCTCTTAAAAAGGTGCACCGGTCGTGTATCTTTGTTGCGCCGCTCCACTGTTGCCTCTGCCGTTCTTCTACGGCGTGCTTTTATCGGGCAAGCCCCAGCCGATCTTACCACCTGGTTCGTCGTTCCTTCCGCTACCCCCGCTTGTACTTTGTCACATAGAACAAAGATTGAAGCAGCGATGGAATGGGTTATTGGAGGATTTGTGTAGGGAAAAGAAGACATGCGACCGTTTGGCAGGCCGGCCGACCCGGCGTTTAGTCACTCAGGGCACTAATGCGAGTAATTTTTTTTCTGATAAAAGTTAAATGAGTAGTCGATCGTGTGTCGACAACCTCTTGTCGTATCACTTTATTTCGAAGTCTGTCCGATATCGAAAATTTGTCAACACCACTTGACTGGGGCGCGTAGTCTCACCCTGGGTAGCGTCGAAGAATCAAAAGTTGTTTGAAAAGTTTTTTAAAAAATGAAAAAACGATACGTTTTACCACTATACTATAAGCACTTTCTATTAATGAAATATTTTTCTACTTACTATTTTCGGTGAAAACTGAATATCATACATACTGTTCGTTCAACGACTTCCCAAAAATTAGTCTATTTTTCCGTGTCTCTCATAAGCAATAATATTTATGGTAGGATTGGCTTGTTTTATATGGTTTCCATACTAATACTCTTTCAACAAACAACAATATATGTAGCATGGTGAAGACCAATATAGCACTTTACCACTACGATCTGACGTCATGTCGCTACGTTATATCTAACCTTATACCGTTATGGTTAAATTACAGTTCTTGCTGTGTTTGGCAACATCTTAATCATTCTTTCGGTGTATAAGGAGAAATCATTGAAGTGCGCAACAAACTACTTCATTGTGTCGCTAGCGTTCGCCGATCTTCTAGTCGCAGCCGTCGTCATGCCCTTCGCCGTGTACGTTCTTGTAAGTACGAAGAAACATCAACGCCCACACACACATTCAAGACTGCTTGCCAGGAGTAATCTATGATAGAGATAAACTGGCGCTAGAACGTTAAACTGGACCGAAAATCTACCAAAACTTACCACACTAATTTATAGGACGTAATTTGTAATCATCAGATTAGAGCCTGAAGTGCAGTTCCCACCTATGCAAAATGGCAGCCCCACAGTGTAGTACGCCGGAAATCAATACGTGACTCGTCTGTGTCGTCTGGTTCACTTCTGGAAAGGTTCCATCTGATAAAAGATGCCCCTAACGATCGTTTTATGACTTGAGCGATAAGGTACACGTCAATGTTCGCCCTCTGAATTGCTTGCAAACGATCGTGGCTCTCGGCCATCTGCCCTATATTGAACTGGCGAACAGCTGCTGAAAGTGCCCCACAATCTACCTAGGAAATCTCGAAAAAAAAACGCAGCTCGTTGTGTCTGTGTATGTGCAAATCAACCTCGCTGGCTAACGATTCATCAAAAAATTTTACTCAGCGTTTTCACATATACTCGTTTATCGCTACCTTCAGCCTTTAAAGTAAAATAAATGCTACACATATTTCACTATGTACAGCTAGATGAAATCTAGTTGACGCAAATCGTACGTAAAAAAAACGGAGACGTTCTACCCAGCCCTTTCAAGGCGCCGCTTCATTGGAGAGCCCCAATGGCGGCTTGTCCGGATCGGTCTGAACGACTGCGTTCAGATTGGGTGGCCATCGAGGTTGACCGCAGACGAATAGAACAGCCGCGTGAGAAACGTGCGTCGACAAAATGAAAATTTGGCCGTTCGCGACTTACATTAGGTGACGATAGAGACAGAGTTAATTACAAGGACGGCACAAATTCTCGTAAAGATTAAGGCTTTTAACGTTTCAGCTGCGTCCTTGCAAAGGCTTACAGAGAACAGACAAAGGTAGCTTTACGTAAAATCATAAGTAGATATTTTTTAGCTAATCACGCAAAGTATGCAGGCTAGCAAAGATTGCAGGTCATGAATGAATGAGACGAATTGTCTGCGACAACTTTTGGCAATTAAGAGAAATAAGCTAGCCCAAATCTGGCAAAAGGAGGTGATCCTCTAGTTTTAATGGAAGCTAACACGCACAAATAAATAAACTCTACGTTATTGACTAGACTCAAATCAATTAATTAGTCACAATTAGTTTTACTGTATTTCTTACCGGCTCGATAGCATACATCCATCTATTTAGTGCCTGCACTGAGTACGCCTACCTCGATCCGGCATGTACTTTGAATAGTGCTAAGTGATCTCATCTCTCCTAGGCAGAAAAAGGGAATTGCCAATCGATGTCCTTCCTGCAAGAACATCTATGTGAACCAACAAACAAAAACTAATATAACTTTGTCATGCAACAATAAAGACCGCATCATTTCTTTATTTAAGCGTACGATTGAATCGAATAAGTTACGTGCCAAAATATGAGATAGTTGTCCATTGTCGAAGTCCATCTGCCAGACCATGCCAGCGACGAGAGGTGAACCGACACGAAGTTAAAATGGCAATTTGCGATTTCAGCTGCCATCTTCAGTATCTAGCCCTCGATGGGTTTACCTCATCGACGTCTGAGATAGCCTATACATGCGAACGAGTATATCTTTACACTGTGGACCCGTTCTGCACATGGGCGATCGATCATACCGCCGTAACTCGCTACCGAAAATAGAAATAGCGTTCTTCATCCAGAAGGAAGCCACTGCCGTCACGGTGCCTAACAAAAGCTACAGTTCTTATTTATAATAAAACGGGCATCCTTTTATAAGACTTTCGGTATTTCGGATAGGACTATCGGCATCCTTCCTAAGATGTCGATGCGATGATACAATAGCCTGTGTTGTAATGTCAGCACGAATGCAGGCGTACGCAAACAAACAGCAGGTGCAAAAGCTATATACAGTCTGTAAACGCTAAATACACAAGGGACCGAGACGGGCCACCGTATTTGCAGGAGGCAAGCCATGTCGTTCCACAGCCAAATACTGCGGATTGTAACAGGGTGGCATACTCAATTTATTCTTGTTAAGACATCGTTGCAGGAACATAGCTATTTGACGCTGGCCTGCCAAAGTTGTCAGTGACCCATCGTCGGATGACATAAGGTAATGACGAAAATCTAAGTTCGACTGCACATAATTTATTTCCTCGTAGACGAAACGCGCCGACACAGTCTCGTCGAACCTTTAGTAGTTGATGACGCGCGAGAACATCGCTTCGCGGACTTCACCAGCTATTTTGTCTGATTCGATGAACCTGTTGATATTAGCTATAATCATTTTAAGTAGTTCCCCTAATATGATGTAACAATCTGTATAAAAGCAACCATTTCTCCGAGCTGAAAGCTGAGGTCTCGGTGCGTTTGTCTCTCCACGTGTGAGCTCAAGTAAAATACTCCTTGAACGACCGGTAAATCATCCAACATCTGCCCGGAATTGGTGAGTACGTCGGCTCACCATTAAGACTATTGTGTTCTTCCTCCTGCGGTCCTAGCAACAGCTTGGAACGATGATAGTCTGTACCTTGGCGCATCCTATAATGAAATTCTACGCAATGACGTGGCACAGTAATGGCAACATAGCCGTTGTACGTGCGCTTCGAGTTCCCATTTTTTTTTACTGCGGATACCTAAAACTATAGTATTATCCTCCGATGATTTTCTATACGGCATACCGAGCAGAGCGTAAGAATGGCGTTACTTCGCTCGTAACGATGCGCATCCAAACGGCTCCTTAGGTCACATTTTATCATTAATAATTAAATCTTATTCTCAACGATAAAATGTTACAAATAAAATTTAAAAAAAGTACTTTGCCGGTTTTCATTAGTCTGACGCGTGATTGCGTTGGGGGCAAGGTTTGACGTCCTCTACCCTTGAGCCAAATAGCTCCCGGCGACCCTTACACAACGATAATAAAAAAATGACAGTACATTTGGGTCGAAGCCTATATATATATATATATATTATTTGATGGCGATCAGGAAACGCAAAGCTAGCAAAGACAAGGACGGCCATTCATTACTGGTCGATTAAGGACATTTGAAATCTCCTTCTCTGATCAGGAGATAATTAAATGTAGGGAAATAAATGTAACAACAACGATCGATCGTGACTTCACTCAATTGAGAGAGGTAATATTAATCACAGCGTACTGTCCAATTTGTGTTGTTTAGGAAAGCCTTCGACATCGAGGACTGGTTTTTTAGATAACCGGCATTTTGCGAATGATTGGAATATGCCGATCTCGTTTGTATTTTTAGTGTACATAGTTACTGGGCGGGTCAACTTCACGATGCGAATGCTGTTTTTTCATTTATATGAAGTCTGAAAGCTATGTACTGCTTACCAGAACTAACAAGATCATTTTATTATGGCTGATCAAAATCGATGCTGAACCAATGATTTGTGACAATAATAACAAACGCTATCACGTATGGTCCTACTAAATCAACATACACGCTTCACCTAGGTCAGCACGCTCGCTCATTACTACCGTGCCATAGCGCTTATTTTTCGAGGTGAAAATGATCTATACTGTTCGGTGAAGTGGCCTAGACTGCCAACCTCCTTTTTGGCCGCAGAAGCGATGAAACTTTGCTAATAGGATGATACATGGCAAGATTGATTAACTAAAAAAGCATCGTGTTCGTTATTTCATTAGTTAGGTCATTGACTGGCTCTGTAACGGCGTAGCGTCCATCTGCTTTTACGTGTCAGTTTTTCTATCTGTTTATTTGCCTTTGCAGGTAAACGTGCGTTGGGAGCTGAGTGATACGTTGTGTGACCTGTACATTGCTATTGACGTCACCTGCTCGACCGCGTCTATATTCAACCTTGTCGCTATCTCTATAGATAGGTGTGTAAGCAAAGTGCCACCTGCCTGGGAAAAAAAGGACCGACAGGTCGATGGCTAGCGTCACAGTGCGTTGTAATACGCGCGTGTTCTGTCGCTCGACTTATCTGGGTCGGCCATTACGAGGAGCCTACCACATCTAGCCCAAGCAGAAGCCATGTCTCAGAAGGCAACAGTTTCATTCATCTAATTATAGATACTTTTGTGTGTATACGGCATTTATTGTGTTCCAGCTACTACTACTACTACTGTTATTTTCGACCGTTCATACCAGGAGGTGACAGGTACAAGAGGCACCAAGGAGTCTCTGCCTTGTTGAAGCTTGACAAAATTTCCAACACAATTTGACGAATTCCATAAATGTATAGTATTTTACAGTTCTATCGGAACGGTCGAAGAGAAACGTGCCAGCCTGTTTAGTAGAACCTTTCTAAAATGTTACAGTAAGCCTCTCTGAGTATTCAAATCCGGACATGGTCCTTTCGATTTTCTAATTTTACTTAGATGGTCGATTTTTCCTAGTAGAACTGTACCATTTCAATGCCTAGCCCGATTTCTATGGCTCCGACAAACATCTGTCTAGCTAGCCACAGAAAAAAACCTCTGCCCACAGAAAACTATTGGCGATTTTTTCGGCGGCCTAAAATACTGACTTCACTTTATTGCGATACTTCTAAGAAAAGTAGCGTTCAGTATCTCAAGGTCAAGTTGAATCTGGTTTTTTCTCTGCGAAAGAACACACTATGAAGCGCTCATTAGTTTGTGTTTTGTCGTAAATAAATGGCCACCTAAACGCTAATCTCAGCTCACTGTCAACCTAAAGCTGCTCGAGAATCCATAACGGTTTTTTCTGTTTATGTTTTACAATCAGTGAACTAAAGCTCTAGTACGAGAGCATTATTAGAAGGTAACCATATTAAATCGGCGTAGTGTTTGCCTTTGACTAAGTGCGCGGCATTTTGCGACACTAGGCATAGTATAGTTATTAAGCAAGCTGCTGAACTAATAGTAGTTTTTCTCTGCGAACTGGCCATGTAATACATGACCCGCAGCATGACCCACCTTCATGTTCCTCGGTCATAGTGCTACTCATTAGTGCGCTTTTTAGTTCCCGACCAATGGTACTCCTAGACCTGCGTTTTAACCCTTTCTGCGTGTAACATCTAAGGATGCAGCGACTGTCTCTTGAACTCCAGGGAAGCGAAACCTTAAGTTCAACTTCAGGGCACTGATTGGGTTTAGTAAGTAAAAAAATACTCACATATATAAGAGTAATTTACAAAAGTCTGCGGGAGGGCGGCATGCGGCACAATCCGTCTTTGCTAGCCTTCTCGACTACTCCTCCGACCTTGGGTCGATTCGAAGCAAGGCACGTCGTATAGTTTTTTTTTACGCTAGGTATTTACTACCGTTCTAAGTTTTCCGTATTTCTGACTAGGGGCATCCTCGCACATTCAGTCCGCTTGTATCCGGACTATCGTTCACTGCACGACTGCTTAGAGGACCAACTACAAAGCAGCAAAGAGTTGTCCTTGCGACCAAAGACGCCGAAAGGCGTTTGCTGAGGATCTCTTTGAGGCCGATCAAAGATTAATTTTTTACCACCGGATCGATTTATGACAGAAAATGGCCATTCTCTGTGTATTATTTATATTTAGTTTATGTCATTACAGTTATTGCTCACGTATACCACTAATCTTTATAAAAAAAAAATATTCTATTTAAATTAATCTTGACGCGTCGTCCTTTCAGGTTCATCGCGGTCACACAGCCGATCAAATATTCGAAGCACAAAAACTCTGGTCGAGTCGCTTTTACTATCGGAGCAGTATGGCTCATATCTATGGCTATTGGTAAATAGTTACCTTGTAAGATACTTATAAGTTAATCATATCCAATGTGCTTATTCTATAATAAAACCTATTCGTTTTTTGTTCGATAACTTAACGAGGTGTGAACTATGTTCATGCGCAGCATTTTGTGAATCGTTCGTGAATATTTTTGAATCTATTTTTATCTTCAATATTTTTTTAAATGAGAAAAATGGGCTATTCGAACTACCATTCAAAAATAAATCCAAATATTAGTAAACATCTATGATTGAACCCTGTTTTCCTATTTCCTTTTGCTTTTCAGGATCGCCCATCATTCTTGGGCTGAACACGTCATCCGAACGTGTCGCACATCTCTGTGTGTTTTACAACTCGGACTTTATCCTATACAGCTCGCTCAGCTCCTTCTACATACCATGTCTCGTCATGATACTTTTATATTATCGAATTTTTAGAGGTATGAAAATAGGTAGATAATAAAGCTATACAATGCTACAACTTAAAATGCAATGCCAGGCCATATATGAATTTTTGTTAGCAGCGTAGGGCTACTTTTTCTTTCATGTTACAGAGTACAGTGACATCTTTGTCTGTACGCTATGTTACAGCTTCTCGTATTGGTCGGTTACCTTTTTAGAAAACGCGTTACCCCCAATAGGCCCAAATTTGGTCGTCGTTAAAAAGGTTCAGCCTCTTTTTACACACTATGCTTCAAAGTTGGAAGATAAGTGAAGCCCTACGCCAAATTGTAACGCCTCTTAAACCGAATCGCACAATCCGGGCACGTTTGTCATGTTTGGTCCTTAAATTCAGTCAAACTTTAGCCGAACGTATTCGTAGTTTTGCGGCTGATCGCATATGAAAAGTAGGCAAATTTTCGTTCAGTAATAACATGTTACATCGTGGGAGACATTTTCGTTTCTGATCGTTAAACAAAATATAAACATTATGGATGAGGCTATGAGTTTGTGCTGAACCTTTAACAGCTATTATTTAGGACGCTGAACATTCTATATGATTTGGCCAAATCAGCTGCGTCCTAGCTAGATAGTTTGAATATAGGAACTGGAAAAAAATAGCAGATTTGCATGTACAAAATAGCAGATTTAAATATTAAAGTAAACAAATTAATTTCTCTCATCTACTATTCGTTAATAATAAATTAACTATTTCCTAATCATAATAAGCCAATTGTATTCTGAACTGTTGCTTCCCTCTTTCTCAGTAAATTGTTTTTTCCTTTTTTTTAACGAAAAAGGGCGCGATGTTTATCGAATGTCCTAACCAGACTAGAGGTTATTTTCCATCAGTCTATAAACTCTTATCTGTATCGAGATGCGTAAAACTTTTGGCACTTATTAAGGTGTAAACTTACGTTTTTTTTACCATTTGTACTGTCGCAGTAATTCACAGTCGAAGTCAACAGAAAGCGGCGACACAGGCTCAGAATGTTAACCCGCCAACGGCCATTCCCCTAGAAGGTATGTCGGAGAGTAAATAGGCTCGTTTGAGCCATGCTAACAATGGCTGTTAAGTGCCATATTGCGTATACTCGCTCTTTAACCTTGTAACGTTGTAGACAATTGCAGAGACTCTCAACGCACAATGACCTTACGCGTGAGCCTTTCAAAATCTTTTCAGATATAGAAAAACATCGAAAGGTCATAAAAGAATGAAAATTTTGTCCTACTTATGGAGTCTGTTAATAGCAATGGCGTAGGTGAGATGCCATTAATTCCCGTAGCGTTGACGGCACCTTCATGCGTCATGCTATGTTTCGACAGCTGATAGCAGTAGATATTTATCACTGCTCTGTCCTGTAATGCAGTGAAGTCCATACGTGACTGACTGCCTGTTCTCAAATGATTTTCAATAATTTCTACGTCTATAGCTTTCCGTTCACAGAAAGTGGCTAAATTACAGTATCCTCAGATGTATGCTGGGGTGATATGGGTGTGTCAGGAATTATATAGAGGGCTTACACATAATTATCTTGGCTGCTACCAGAAAGGTCATTTATTTCAAAAGGCAGCTCTTCGCGATACTTTGATTAACTTAACAAATTGACCTATGCAATAAAAACGAGCAGTCTATAAGAACTGTATTAGAATTTTTTAGATCTTCACACACACATACATACGACTAAGTGATTGATAATCCGTCTGAACCCAATCATTACGATTACGTTACAAACTCGCACACAAGGTATTTCAGCGTTTTACCCCAAAAGACAACTAATTTAGCATTTCTTAGATATACATGCGTTCCTTAAAGATGATCTAATACAATAATTCCACCGTTTGGGGGAAGAAATAGCCACCGGCGTCCCTGATTTCCTGCACATACTTAAGCTATAATAGCGTGCATATTGAGTCTATGGTTTTTCATGCGCAGCACATTGCTGTTTAATATATAATGTGATATTCTGTCTATAGAATTTCGACAGGACCAGCTGTCACCTCAGCGATTTCCGATTCTACTGAAGTACTCATACGAGAAACATACTTATATTATTGTGATCTGTTACATCGATTGCACTTCTCTTCTAAACTAAATCTAAATAAGCCTTAATTCTTGTCATAACTTTTGGGATTTGACAAATTTTGTTCTGAAGTAACTTTTGTCTGATTTTTCAAGAGTCGTGCTAAACGGCTTCCTGTCTTGTAATCGTTTTAAATGCTACGATACCAACTTCGACTAGAAAATTTCTTTTTGGTGTGAGTATGTTTTTCTTTATCTAGCGAAAATGATCTATTTATTTCAGCGTTGAAATGTGCATGTCCTTGAAACTAAATCATACGCACATCTTAATCGTAACTGGTATCATAAGGTTAGCGCCCTCAGGGAATCCTTCTTTGATAACTTCGACGCGTAACCTCGATCAGGATATCAACGAAACGGAAGTGCAGTGCTGTTTTGTGCCTCCCTTAAGTTTTCAACTAATTTTTATATGAATCTACAAAAAATTATCACATAAGGAATCCGTATAAATTCACTGTATAGCTGTATAATATTTACAGAAACACCTATCAAGTATTGTTACGGTGTGCCTAATCTAAGGCAAGCGAGTAAGCTACAGTAAAAGGTAATTTGTTTTTGCGGTGTTTAAGTATAGTGTCTCTAGTGATGAGCATATAAGGGGGCAGGTCATAAGGTAGCTAACGGCTACTTATTAGCATCAGTAAGACCTTCATCACTCTTTTAATCCATCGAAATCAGTATGTGTCATCAAAGCTAACCGACATCCATTTGGCGTATTTCTCTCATTGTGCTTTGTTATCGGGGGCATAACTCTCATTGCAAATAGGCAAAGGGTCCCGAATGGCAGCGGCACAAACCCATACAGAAGCTGCAGGATCCGTTAACGATACTCGAACTGTTCCAAGGGGCAACAACGCGCAGGCGGTTCCTCAAGATCAGGCCACTCTCACCGCGAGCGATTCGCAGGTTTGTATATACATATATTACATTGGGCTAATCTGTTGTAACGTTGCATAAAATCCTCGTTCAAATTTAAGTATTCCTCCATGGATTCGACTGTTTCGAAACCATTGTTAAATGATTATATCGAACAGAATACCTAGACAACCTAGTATCATTCAAACTACCTATTATTAAGCGAGCTATTTGCATATGCGCTATAAGGACAAGTAGTTTGGAAAAGTTACGCAAGTTCACTATAATAGCGCCCTGAACTTACTTATATTGGAAACGTTTGTTTTACATAGCTTGTTAAGGCTTCAAGAGTTATATTTGATATTTGGCGCCTTGCGCAAAATGGATAAGAAGAGAATCTATGTTGAATTGTTATGAGTGTATGTGTGTTTTTACAATTATCTATCTCTAGAAGAAACTGAGATACTGTTTCATTTCTTGGCTTATAATGTACATCTATAAACACGCATCCAAGACGGAAAAAGGCCAATGTTAAGTTCTTGTTAATTATCCGTAAAAGATCAACCTTAAGAAAAGGTTTCCACTTGAATACAATTAGATGCTTCAAGGCACATTTATTTAAAACTGAATGTAAGTTAACTCGAACTTTCAAATAATTGTGTGCTTTGTAGGCATCAGGAGCCACACTTTGCAGCTCAGCTGCTTAAATACAGCCTTAATCTGATGATAACATAAGAAGAATCTTTTACTGTTTCTACTGATACGCATCTGTTTGTATAACCCTAGCTATATAAATTGACACGTCAGTCGGAAATAACTATATGTATCTTTCAAGTCAGTATCATGCAAATGATGCCTCTTCAGTTGTATAACCGCGATCGCCGCAACGTCAGTAAGAACCTCATAGTTAAGTTTAGCGGGGTAACATTTCATTCTTATTCTCCGTCTCTTCTCTTTGTTTGCACCTATTAAGCGTTGTTCTCTAAGAGAAAGCAGTGGTGATCGTATCTATTATAATCCCAACTGTATAAAAGAAGTAACGATATTCGTTCGTTTTCTAACGACTGATTGATCGGACATCGGATAACGCGAAACATAAGGTCCGATCGGAAGAACGCGACAGCGGGTTATCGCGCATCTGCCGCTGCTGTCGCCGCTCGTACTCAGTCGGCTTTGTCTTTGGCCGTCTGGGCTCCTCGACTCCTTGGCGGAGCCTTAATGTCGCGCGCTTCGTCACTTGCCTGTAACTCTCTAGGGGGGCAGTAACTACTGTTGGCTGTTAGTAAAAGATTCTGGCTAACATTCGTTAAGTCTTCGGGAAGGTAGCGTTGCCACTTGGGAGTTGCAAACTGCGTACCGTTGCTGCATCCGTCGTCGTGAACCGACAAACGAAGGAAGGCGGATGGCGGCACGACGATGTGACTCACTACCAGAGTTCGGTTTTCTTTGGAAGATCTTTTATCTTGCCTTCCTTTATCAACAGCGGTCGACAAATGCGGCGGCTGAAAATTCGTTTCATCATTATGAAACTCTGCGCTGTTCTTAACGTCCATAAAATACACGAAAAATCGCACGCCACTGGCGCTCACAAACGTCAAAGTGAGCGACAGAGCTTTTCGCGCTCTAAACGAACGTTACTAGCCAAGACGCAGCTGAGAACATTTTATAGCTAATGAATCAACTACATAGTAGTTTTAAACGGCTAAAGATGGAAATTCCAGAATAATCGAAAGGCACCGCCGACTAACCGAAGGTCAGGGCGTTCTGCCTTTTACGGATGCAGTTTCTATAGGAAAACAGTACGTTTATCATCGTTTAGTCTGCTTACTGCTGAAAATATGTCATATTTACACATAGGACTGCAAAAAACAGAATACGACAGCTAAAGTTCACTGGGTCTGTCGACTAGAGCGCTCAATTTTTTACTCTATCTGACGTTGTTTTTTTTTTTCTAAAATTTAACATTCATATTAGCTATACAAAAACTGCATTGTCAGGAGTTATCCTTTTCTTCGTACGAATGCGCGCAGGGAGCCCTTATTCAAATTTGGTCATTTCAGGGCACTTTACAAAAAAGTGTGCATTGTTAAAGGCTGTGCATGTGTTTACGTTTATATACAGGGCACAAGCCGAATAATAATGGAGTGTGCTTTTGATATGTGCTTCAAAACTCTGTACATTAAGCTACAAACTAATCCGAACAAATTATTATTATGATTGCAATTTGCAACACATTTCTCTATCCTGTTGCTAAATATCCATTGATCAGAAAATAAACAACAATCTAATTTGTATTGGATATAGAATCCTGATGCCCATAACAAGCATTTTGTATTGTTTTAATCGACGGCACAACTCCAGGAGGCTGCTCCCGAGGGAGACGGGGTAGATCAAAACCCCGATAACGTCCCAACCCGTTCACCAGATACCGGAAGTCCACCTTCGCAAACAACAATGTTGGCAGAGGCCATTAATAACCGAGCTGCCGCAGACCCCACGCCAACGCATCTCACCGATTCTGCACTACCTCCGTCCGATGTTAACAACAAAAGTAAGGTACGTGGCCATTTGCACATATTAGTTAGGCCGAATGTTTCATTCAGCGGGCTTTAAGCAAACAATTCACCTTATAAACACTTGTTGAAATAGCTGTCTTTGCAAGCTAGATCGAAGGGAAACGAATGTATTGGGATGTTCATTGCGGCACCCGAACGTCGCCAGTGCTGACCTAGACCAACCCCGGCAGCAAAGGCAGACCTTGTAGGATCGGCTCAAGCTATCCGCTTGTAGGTTAATGTAGATTTCGCTCGTCAACTTACCTTTATGTGAATTTTTGGCTATTATAGGAACTAACTGGTAGCGGTCATACGGTTATGAGTGGTGGAGGTAACGCTGCAGTGACGTCCAAAAAACAGCGCTTTAATCTCGTTCGTTACAAGCAGAAATCGAGCAGACGAAAACGTGAAAAGGTGTCTGCAAAACGAGAGCGTAAAGCAACGAAAACGCTTGCCATCGTTTTAGGTTCGTATAGAATATTCACTGTCATCGTTTGTGCGTAACAGGCATTTTGGGGAAAAAAAAAATTGTAAAGAACCTTCGCCACGAGGTATACCAAACATTTGCTTTCTGCTCGGCTTTACGATTTCGATCTAGAAAGAAGTTTTCAGGGGGACGTTCGTTTGTACGTATCGTCGAGGTGATCAAGTCTACTGTTTCATTGCAAGCCTAGCATATACATCTTTTACTTTGGAAATGAAAAATTCTTAGACAGCCACCTTAGTAGTACGGCAGTCAATTTTCTTGATGGAAACACTTTGGACTAGCTTGCGTCACGAACGCGGGACTCTGGAGCGACGACTAGTGATACCACTGATGTCCCTTGATGCAATCGTCAATATTCCTCTATTTGGACTTTTCTGTTATCGTCGCGGCTGTGACTCTTAGTAAATTAGTGAAATGTGTGTTTGTTTATCTATCAGGACAAACGTAAAATTAACTTGACAGCAGTCGAGCAACGATACGATACTTGTAGCGTTTAGATTCTCACACAGTTCTTGCACGGTATGTGCTGTTTCTTTCTAAACTTCTTGGTTGATTGTCAAGTAAGTGCCTTAAGAGGTTAGCGGGTCAATGTAAATTCTATAGAGAGAGCAAATCAAGTGACCACGTACAATTTGATATTAGGTGTACAATTTAAACGTTACCTCTGTTATTCTTCTCTACCGAACGAAACTTCTTCAACGACCAATTGAAGACGCTAAAGAAGCTAAATGATATTGGATAGAGCCACGAAGCTAAATTTAATTTAGAGTCCATCAAGTGGTGGCTGATTAGCGTCACTCAATTTGGATATCTACCAATTCTCGCTTCATTTTCAGGTGTATTTCTATTCTGCTGGGTGCCGTTCTTTACGTGTAACGTCATTGATGCCATTTGTATCAAACTGAGTTGCAAAGAGTGTCAACCGGGGGTCACCGTGTTTATGCTTACGACCTGGTTAGGTTACATCAATTCCTGCATCAATCCAATTATCTATACGATCTTCAACACCGAGTTTCGAAAAGCATTTAAGCGTCTACTAATGGGCTCGAGCAGCGGTACCAATTCGGAGGGATCAAGCAGTAGATTTAATAAATGAGTGCATCTATACATGAAGTAATAGAAGATCGATGTATAAGACAATGGTTTGTACGAATTCTACCCAGAGCTTCTTCCCAGCAGTAAGGATACAAACCCGATTGCCATTTGTAGATATTATTAACATCGTTGCGCCAATTGCACCCCCTGCAAAGGCCCAATCGGACGCCGATATCACATTGCTGAATGGATAGAGTTTAGCAGCGGCGGCCGATGTCGTCGAACTTTTACGTAGCTCGTTACCGTCAAGGATGACGGTGTATGTGAAGCTGACAAATGTCAACGCAGCATCTCAAACAGCCATGTACCCGTAAAGACCGCAGCCTTCTAGTAAGCCTCTGTGGGTAGCGACTGACGACAGCTGAAAGCCACTGTTTTAGGAGCGAGGCGCTCGTTTCCGTGCGCTTACTTCAAACTCAGAGAAGGAAAAGTTAATCACTGCTTGTTATCTAGTGAAACTTACGCCGCTACTATACACACATAAATATTAAAACATGTGATGAATTTTACAAAGATAATATAGGGTGATTATGGTGGTATTAGTTAACGACGATGGAAACAGAGGTACACAATATGAATAGAAACTATTAATGGCAACAAAAAAGGTTTACGAAGATCAACTTCCTGAATTTCGATGATGGCACACTATCTTGTCAAAGAACCTATATATAATGCCTAGCTAAGCTCGTAGGCAGAATATGTCGAAGAGAATATGCATTAGGTCCATATCGAATAAAAAATTGCAATGCAATAAAACTAATCTGATGCTCGGAAACTCAGTTGACAGCATTCATGCCTGTATCAAACTACAATAACAACATTAGTAGTAATAATTATATAATAACTTATTAACTTTATTAACGAAATAAAAAATTACTGTTTGTAAAACAAGGATAAGTCTCCATTTCCGTCGACTGTCGTTATGAACGAATGTGATATATATATATATGTGTCAAATATTATTGCACCTAGTAGTGCCCCCTATATGGTGAGCCACACCGCCTTGATACAAAATACGTTTGGTAAACAAACGCTGAGTCGCAGAAGCCTGAGTTGTATTCGGATGGAGTTCGTGTGAATAGGTCTTTTACGCTATATCTGAATGCAGGATGCATTTCCCATGCATTTGTTCTGTCCACTTCTTTGCCTATAAGTTTTTTTTATCTGCTTCTCTCTGGTCCGGCGCGGCTGCGTTGATTGCAGCCTGGCACATGGGCAAAGGGGAGGAGGGGCGGTGGGGAGCAGAAAAAGTTGTGGTGGCGACAGGGGCAAAGTTGCAATAGTGCAAGTTAAAATTTAAAAAAAAAAAGCAAAAATTTAAGCTAGTTCAGAATGTGGCTGGACAGTGGTTTCCATATTACGAGGAAAAGATAACGACAGACAGTGTGTATAAAGAATATTCACTGCAGACGTCGCCGATGTATAGAAATGTACTTTCAAACTATACGACGCAACATAGACGCAGGGGCGCATACATGGATAATTAAACATCCTTAAGAAGTATTATAAGACCGTAACGATAGTAGCGTATCATCGGAATTACCATGACTAAACTTACTCACAGCATATAATATATTAATATTGTTATGGATAACAATAGCAAATGTTACTAATGAAAAGGCAAGTGTAAAAACCTGTACAAATTATCATTATTCTAATAGTACTAGATCGAAAGCGTAGCAACGCCTACGCAGCTGTGTTGTATACAAACGTATATATATATATATATAAAACGGGTGACGAATGAGCTATATGCAGGTTTTACCGCGTGTATGACGGTTGTACTGTTTTGTAGTTAGCTATGAGCGTCAATGATACGTTTGAGCGTGCACTTAGTTTACGTTTACTGGCCACGGAAAAGCAACGCAAAAATGAACCTTGCCGGTCACTTTATTTAGCAGTACATAGTGTCTACCTATATATCGTTATGCGCGCAACAGTAACGTATTTACTTCGAAAAGTATGTACTAGTAAGTTGACGCATAACAACGCAAGGAATATCTTTAGAAATTAAAGCACTTTACCTATATAAGTTTCGATCCATATTACGGCAATGAGCACACGTACAGGTTTTATTACTTAGAGCAATTTATATATTTCGTTTACGGCGCTGTGATATTGATCATATTTTAATAATTAAGCGTGATATACTCCATTCTCTTCAGTGTTTGTTGCCATTGACTTTTCCATTTTTGTTTCATTTTTATATTTCTTATCCTTAATATTCTATTATCTTTATTATGACTAACATAATTTATCTAATTTGTGTTACCTATTATCGGAATCGCCATCGTCGCACTTATTAATTATTTCTTTAATTAGCATCATCTGCCATTATTTTACTAATTATTAACGTCGTCATTCTAATTAGTCGGTAGATGTAAACATTACTATTCATTTTGCCATAAAGACCATTGATGCTATTCATGGGCGTCAATCACCATGATCAACCGAACACGTTTGCCGTCCACCTTCACAAGCTAGTAGTATTTCATGTATTTCTAAGGGCTTGCTCGGGCTCTCTTCAATTCAGACAGATCAGCTTTTCTAATAGACGCGCTCATTTGCAGCTTGAGCACCCATTCCCAGTATTCGAAAGAGACTGAAGATATTATTACTTGTATCTACACCAATAGTTCATTAGCATAGCTTGTCGTCAGGTAGAATCCAGAAGGGTTATATCCTAATACGACGTCAAAACTTGCCTCACGCTGTCCACATAGTAAAAGTCACTCCAGGTTAAATACTGATAAAAAATTTCATTGCGAGCTATAAGCAACTTATAATAGAACATTGTTATGTGCGACCAATATCAGCATGGTAAGCCCAGTATAACATCAAATCCAAAAGAAAGGCTACCAGTAGATAATATATGAATTCCCTTTTTAGAGAATTCATATGCATACAATGTAGCAAATTCCCTCATTGTTTTACGGTGTTATTATGGCAATGGCACCTTACCCAGCCGTCAGCTATTGTTTAGGAGTACTTTCGCGTGCACGTTACAATATCGGTAACACTACAAAATCCCACAAAGTTCAGTGTTTAACTTTGGCCCCACCGAATCAAGCATATTACTCTGCGTTTGCACACTGACGATCATTCGGACACAACGTGCACCGGCATCATTTGCAAACAGAAATCTACTTCAAATTGTTGTACTTAATTTTTGACGATTTTTAACGCGTTGCCAACAGCAGGAACACATTTCTAGGCTAACAGATTGACCTCAAACGAAATTTCGCTGAAATACCCGCGCAAACTGTCAAGTCAAGTCAAGTCGATAACGAACGGAACGTCACTGAATTGTACGTTGTTTCCGTGTCACAATCATTACTGCTATCGAAAAAGGTGTTTCTTTTCTTAGAGAGAGGCCAGTACGCTTACTGATTTTTTTTACTGCACTTACTATTCGCTCTGCCATTTTATACAGTCGTGTACACATTGTTCTGTTGTTATAAAGCCGCATACCTAGACAATTAGTAACTCCGACTCGAGTCATTTTTCAACGAAAATTATTCTCTAGATGGGTCATAGCACGGCCATGCGCTCTACCAATAATGTCGTTTTTCTGCTGTCTATATCTAAAACTATGTGTAAAGTCCATCGTTCATTAAATTTGTTCAGTTTTTTTTTACATCGTATAGGTAAAGGTTGATGACATACATAACAGATCCGATCTATCTATATACCTTCAATATCTGATTTTCATCATTTATCGATAGTCGCCCAATTATAAGTAATCACTCGTTTTATTTGGCAGGTTTGTTTTCCTCGTTCTCCTCGTTCGACATTATTTATCGTAGTCTATTCAGCTATTTATTATGCGTACGTTGTATAGCTAGAATACTTATGAGCTGTTGCTATTTACGCTTAGCACTATACTCGTGTGTAATTAGCATCAGCGCATAATCGTTATGACCTTTTCTTTTTATCGAATATCAATGTTATGCGTCAATTTACTAGTACATATTTTTCGAAGTAAATACGTTACTGTTGCGCGCATAATCGTTATGACCTTTTCCTTTTATCGAATATCAATGTTATGCGTCAATTTACTAGTACATATTTTTCGAAGTAAATACGTTACTGTTGCGCGCATAATCGTTATGACCTTTTCCTTTTATCGAATATCAATGTTATGCGTCAATTTACTAGTACATATTTTTCGAAGTAAATACGTTACTGTTGCGCGCATAATCGTTATGACCTTTTCCTTTTATCGAATATCAATGTTATGCGTCAATTTACTAGTACATATTTTTCGAAGTAAATACGTTACTGTTGCGCGCATAATCGTTATGACCTTTTCCTTTTATCGAATATCAA